ATGCAATGTGAAGCGTCAGCGTTGCAGAGCAAGGCTTCACGGGCACCACTGTTTGGGGCCAGTCTTGGCAGGCACCAACGCATTTCAGGAACAATGTCTGCTAGGCTCAGGCGGTTGGTCAGGCGGAAATCACTTATGCCCATCATCACACAAAACCGACTTAGAAAGCCTGAAAGATTTGCATGGCGTTTCTGAGGCTGCAGTCCTTGTACCTTAGTGGAATTCCCTCGTTTCTCTGCACCAAGCCAGCTTGTGACAGGCAGGTTCCCTTCTGCAGGCAGGCGCAGCTTTTGGGTGGAGGGATCCAATTATTCTGTGCAGCAGCTGTTGCACATAACGAGAATGCTTGAAAAGAGCTGTGCAGCGTCCTAATTACCTGTGGCAAGGCAAACATCTGTGTAAGAAAAGTAATGAAATTAATTCTAACGTCTGGCAATTGCATACATTAATTGACATTAATTAACGCCAAATTACAAGATGCTTCCTATGGAATGGCATTAGGCACCCACCAGAATTGAATATGGAAAGAGCTCATCATACTTAATGCTATTACAGCAAGCCCCTGGGGGAGCAGGAGTGATTGGTCCCTCCTTATGAACCGTAGCCAGTTCCTTTCTGTTTCCATTAGGAGGAGAAAAGGAACAAACTCAGAATACTTTGCCAGGCAGTCAGCTCAGAATTGATCATTTACCCTTCAGCTTGTAAATTTCACTTTGAGACACTCTGGGGCAACAGTGGCTTAGAGACTTCATCCATTGGCTTTTTAAAAAATGTCATTGAGTTGAACACTGTACCTTGTAGCTCTCAGCCCAGAAGCAGGGTTAGGCCCCAGTTCAGGCACCAAGAGCATCGAGGCAATTGGAGGAAGAAAGCGTGTGGAGAAGTTGGATGCAGCCCTTTGCACAGGGACCCAGTCCGCTTCAGCCCTCACCCGCCCCAGAAATACCCGATGAGGAGTTTTTGCACCACACGTCCAATTTTCTCACATTAGTGCCTTTTCATTCTTGTTGACATGTTGTGTGCATGTTTTATTCATTTGCAACTTGCAAAAAAGTAGGTCCTAACGCACCTAGTTTGGCAACCTACTTTTTAAGAAACTTTTATTTTGTAATACTCTAGATCGAAAAGTTACCTGGATGGTTTAGAGTACATGCCCTCAACCCAGTCTCATAGAGTGCTAACATTTTAAAAACCAACACTTTTTTTTCAAAACTAAGAAATGAACACTGATGCTGTATAATTGCTTAGTAACCTTGTTTTATAATGTAAAATTCATAAGGCAGTCCCTCCTGGAAGCAGAAATTTTAATAGGAAACCACAAATTGTATAGTTTAGCTATTCTCTTGTTGGCCATTTTGGTTTTTGTTAATTTTACTTTTTATTACCAAACAACACTCTGAAGAGTAACCAGGTGGCTAAATCTTTGTATCCAATCATGGTCTTCTTGGCGTTCTCAGAAGTGGACTTGAGACCAGATTTATATACTTTCAAGTATCTTGTCTTATATTGTCAAATTTCCACTTAAAATATCAATTCACAGGTGGTTTTCTGTTGTATGTAGGTATCTGTTGGTTCCCAGAAGACAAAATATACTTTCCTAACATTGACTCCATCTCACTGAGAGTTTTCCTGCAACTTAATGTAATGAAAATAAAATATAGTTGCAGTAGACCAAGGAAATCAAGACGCTATGCAGTACTGCCAGCTCTACAATGTCTCTTTCTTTCAACTGAGTTTACCTATAAAATCAGTTCATTTGTTAAATTCCATGGAGCTCTTAGGATTGAATACACTAGATTAATGTGAACATCTTCAGAATGTTTAACAGGAATACTCACAAAATTCATTTCCTATACTTCTTTGTTTTCCCCACTGCTCAGATTTATAATTCAGTATGGATAAGATACACTACTATGTTTGTTTGCATTTTACATCTATGAAGAGGAGATATAAGCCTTAAGAAAAAAACTATTAGATACTATTGAAAATGAAACAACTGTTTATTCACTAATGAGTCTTCATGATGTGTCAGCTCTATAAATTATAATGGAAGTTGCAATTGGAACCTCAATAACTCCTAATCAAAAGTCTTTGGCTTAATTTTCTTTAACTATTATTTTCCTTCATTATGTCCCATGAGAATCACAGAGGTAGAGTAGATCTGGACTTCATACAATCAGTAGCTCAAGGGTGCCATGGGGAAACAGATCGTTTCCCTAGGATTTCCACACTCCTTGTTGAGACTTCTCTATAAGACTGGCTTCTTCAGATAACAGGACACCTAGAGCAGGTCCAGAAATGGCCCTGAAATTCATATTGCACAGGCAGGAGGAAGGGGTCTCCTTTATCTCCTTGGTTTGCCTCCCACTTCTCACTTCCCAATTCTGGGGTTAAATGAACTCTTCTAAGTTAACCAAGGACAAGGAGACCAGGAAGATCCTGAGTGGGCTCGGGCGCCACAACATTGATGCATATGTTGTGCAACTCCTGTCACAAGGACAAAGAAATGGCCAATGGGCGTGGCTTTGTGTTTTTCAGCAAATAGTAAGAGTGGAGGCTGATCTCTTCTCCAACTATATTTCTCCTCAGCTAGACTAGTCCAGTTCAGTTTATTTCACCTTTTCAAGGACTTACAATGTGCTTCAAACTGATTTTATCATTGTGAAAGAGAAAGCAAGGATATTATCTGCAATATTAACCACAATGACAACATGTGGAGAAGTCTGAATTTCAAAACATCGAGAATTAGGCTGGAGAGCTAGCTGAGCGGCATAGGTGCTGGCCTGGCAAGCACAAGGTCCTGAATTCAACCTCTGGAACAACAACAACAACAACAACAACAAAATTAGCATTATATCGTTTGACTAATTATATCTTGTAGTTGATCTACTAGATAGATAGCTGATGTTGCTATAAATGAAGGAATCAAGAATCAGGAAGGTGAAATAATCCTCTGACCTCCGCAGCTGGTGAATGACCACATCAGAGCTTGAAGCTGGTTCTCATCATCACAGATCTTCCATGTTTCTATGATGTCAAATTAGTCTTTGAAAAAAAATAGAATTGCTTAAAAGCTGAAAAAGGTGTAGAGGAATGTGCAGTTGGAGGCAAAATTCTGCGTGTGATAGTAAGAACAATTCTGGGAAGAGATGAGACCCAGCAATCTTTGGTAGGGAGAAATCTCTGGAGTTATACCCTCAAATGAGACTATAGGAACGTCGACAGAGGAGGATGGAGTGTGAATAGTAAGCCCTTTTTTTTAACTTTGGGGATGGTTTGCCCTGGACAAGATGGCAGTGAGTACCTGGGAGCCATCCTGTGCCTACAGCAGGCAACAGGCAGGGGAAAGTTGTGAATCTGACCCTTCCTCGTCCCTCTGAGCAGGACCCACAAGGGCATCAGACTCGGCCACATGACGCCAGTGGCTGTGAGCCTCCGAGATGGTCCTGGTGGCCCACAGGCACAGCCGCTTTCTTATGTGCTGGTGCTGGTCCTGGGAAGCCCTACGCTGCTCATGTTCTCGAGGGAAGCCTTCAGGAGATCCTTGTATCCATCTCCACATACTACTGCCCACAGCCTGTACCTGAGACAAGAACCTCCTGCTGTGTGCCTTTGTGTTCACTGAGGCCTTAAAGCTCGAATTTCCTCAGACATTCACCATCAAAAACAATTGTGTAAACTTCTTTTTATTCAAAAACATATATTTCAGTAAAGTGGCCTATTCCAGAACACTTTTGTTTATTGTCTGTTGTCATCCAGGAGAGTTATTAAGTAACAAGACGTGACACTATAGCAAAGATAGATTGATAGATAGATAGACAGACAGACAGACAGGCAGACAGATAGACAGACAGATAGCTAGAATAGCTAAAATAACATAAATTAGCTACAGAAGAAAGATAAAATTGCTAATAAACCAATAAAAGAAAAGAAAAAAAGAAAGGCATCTGTCTTCATGGAGTGTTTTAATGGAAATTATGTTCTAATGAAAGTAGCACATAGAAATAAACCTTCAAGTAATTTTATAATTTTCTTAATTTCTGTGGAAGGAACTCACAGGATGTTGTAAACAGCACTATCGTTGATGATTGCGAAGCGAGCTGGAATCTCTAACCTTCTGTAGTAGCAGCCTGTGGGGAAAGCACTTCAGGCATACAGAATACAGATGGATGATTTCTAAGGCTGGCAGAGAGTTGGGCCAAGTTCCTGAACATAAAGTAAACAGAGTTGGAAACATGACAGGAAAGCCAGGGGAGGAGGAGCGGACAAGAGGCAGGAAGGTGATGCTGGGGTTGCCCTTCTTCCAAGCGTGGGGCAGCAGAAGCAGGCCTGAGCAAGGACTGACGTGCTGGGATTACAGAGTCCAGCACTTGTGTCTGGGAAGCAGTGCGACACACTTCAGCGGCAGAGATGGAGAGCGGCCATCGCTGCCCCGTGGGCAGCAGCTGGTGTACAGGTCCGGGTGAGATCCGGGGCCCCAGCGTACTCACCTGTGAAATGAAAACACAGTTTTGCACTCACAAATCCCTGTCTTGTGATTCAGATTTCTTTAGAAAAAAGCAAACAAACAAACAAACATAAACCCCATGCATCTGGCACAGTTCCACCCAGCGCAAATGGTTTAATGCTTGCCTGTATGTTTCTCTGTCCGTCAGTCCGGGTCAGAGCATGGAGGGAAAGGCTCCTAAAGAGAAATCCTAACTATGAAATCACAAGTGCTAGTGCCAGTTTTTGAAAATACTCGGTTTGGAAGAGAAAAATTAAAAGGGAATATTTAGTGTTCTATCCTGGCAAGATTTTGTGGGGGAATCAGGAGAGAGTGGCGTTGCTGGACAAGCAGTATCACAATGATCATCATTTTGACAATAATAATGAAGATAGTGTTCTATTTGAAAGATTTAAGGTTTCTTTACATACTTGGAGATAGTAAGAAAACTACAAAAACCTCCGCTCAAATGTTGGAGCCATCCTGTACACCCAACCCCGCTGTACTTTTCCAGATTCGCAGTATCTCACTTGCAGAATGCAGAACTGCACGGATGGCAACAAAAGTAAACCTTTCCCAGGCTACATCGACCCAGACTCCCTGATCGTCCAGGATGATTATGTGTTCGTTCAGGTAGGAAAGAGCCACTTCCACTGGTTGTCTCGAGAGCATGGGTGTTGTCTCTGTGCTTGTGACAGTCCCTGCCTGCTCCTGGGACCTGGAGTAAAGACAGGAGGGGAGGGTAGAAGGAGGGAGAAGAGGAGGGAGGGAGGGAGGGAAGGAGAGGAGGGCAGGGAGGGCGGGACAGAGGGAGGAATGGGGAGGCACAGAGTGAGGGAGGGGAGAGGGATGGAGGGAGAGAGGGAGAGACAGAGGGAGGAAGGGGAAGGGAGGGAGGGAAGGAGAAAGGGATGGATCGAGGGAAGGAGGAGGGATGGAGAAAGGTGGAATGGAGGGGAAAGGGAGACAGGGAGGGAGGAAAGAAGGAAGGGAGGGAAAAAGAAGGAAGTCAGGAAGGCAAGAAGGAAGGAAAGAAGGAAAAGAGTGAGGAAAGGTATTAGGGGTGTGGCAAGCATCGTTACTACCAGGACTTGACTTAGATTTGTCAGAAGGCTTCCACAGGACCTTATCGAGAGGCCATGCCCGCACTGCTTGGAATAGTAAGATGGTTCCTAGAATGGTGCTCAGCTCCCTCATTTGCTTTCCCAAGAAACTTCGGGTCATCAAAGAGACTGGATAAGGGAATGCCAGATAGCTCAGTGGACTAAAGTGCCTGCTTCCGCAAAGCCCAGGGGCCAGGTTCCATTCTTGGCATGCCGTGCCTGCCCCGCCCCCAGGGGGCGCTGAGACAATAACTGCGACTGGGTGTGGTGGCGTGCACTTGTAACCTCGGTGCTTGGGAGGCTGAAAACAGAAGGATCACTGCAAGTCTGATCTGTGTAGTGAGGCCCTGTAGGTCCTGTCCTAAATACATAAAAAAGAGAGACTGGGTAGACACGCTAATCTCTTCTTACTCAAGTTGCAGCATGCCACTCAGCCCCTCCCTGCCCTGCATACCAACTTAGAAGTAGAGGCGAGGCTGGGACTGAAGGCTGTGGTGCACCGCGCTCGGGAGGCCAAGGCCGAAGGAAGACACCGGGCTGTTGCCCCGGACCGAGCCTGAGGTGGCTTCAGCTGCACTGCCTGCCCACGCAGGGCGACCCTGAGCACTAGAGCAGGACGAGCAGAAGCGAGCTTGGCTTCCTTCTAGCAGTTGAGGAAAACCTGGACACTGCATTTCTGTATTCCATCATCACTTTCCATGCAGAGCAACACAGGCATAACTGCGAGGCAGCTGAAAAACACAACCAAGACACACTAGATGTTTGCATATGTATATCTGAAACTGTGATGCAGCACATTTAAAAATTCTGCTGATGAAGTAATTTAAAATATCTAGCACCAGCCTACATAATGTTTAAATTTTCACGAATGATCATACATTCCCACCATTTCCTCTCCTCGGGGAAACTAGTAAGGAACTCAAGGATAGCTTCCCCTGGCCTTCCAGTGGTTACATGCATTGGTTCTTCTTCGTGTGTGTGTGTGTGTGTGTGTGTGTGTGTGTGTGTAGTTTTAGTACAAGGTGTACAGGGTCTCACTATACAGATTGGACTTTTAGTGATCCTTCTGTTTTCAGCCTCTCAAGTATTGGGATTACAGGTGCTCGCCACCACGACGGGTCTCAATCTCCACCTCAGCACGCCCTGGGGGTTGGGCCGGCCCTGCAGGAGAACCCCAATCCCTGTGACTGCCTAAGCAGGCACTTTAGTCTGCTGAGCTGCCTGGCCAGGCCCGTGCATTGGTTCTGCCTGGGCATCTCTCAGTCGGGTCCTCTCCCAGGAGCTTTCCCTTGTTCCTACTAACAGTCTCTACCCCGCACAGAGGGTTTGCGGGAAACCCAGCTCTGCAAGATGCGTGCTGACCCTGGCGACATCTGAACTCCAGGCAGCTGCGTGGGTGCCCCGGGCTGCGGGCGGGAGGCTGACGGGGCTGTGGTGCTCCTGCGCGGCGCTTTTCTGAGTGGGGCCCAGAGCCTGCCTCGCTCGCGCTTCCTTACTCTGACGGCTTGTGTGTCCCACATAAAAAGGCCATTTTTCAGTTTTCCTCTAAAAGAGACTGGCTGAATTTCATCCCTGGCTTTGCACGCTCCACACTCCTGTGGGTGGGACGCGATCGCAGTAATCTGCGCGAGAGATGTGCGGCCAGGGTCGCGGGCCTGGCCGTGGGGCTGGCTCAGCGGCTGGGGACAGCTCAGCCCCGCTCCCCGAGGCTGCTATTCTGCGGGGGAGAAAAACACCTGAGCGGGTGTCCCGGCTCCCGAGCCACGGTGCAGGCGGAAGCGTGGCAGTTCTGCCACGTGGCTTCCTCTAGCGTGGCCTCTGCCCGGCGCCTCGGGGTGTAGGTGCCGTCCAGCAAGACGCCGCTCCGGGGCGCGCTCCCGGCCTGCCCTCGGCTGGAGGCCACTCCAACCGGGTGCTCACGCCCTCGCCCTTGCGTGCAGCTGACGTCCGGGGGAAGACCGCACTACTACGTGTCCTACCGCAGGAACGCCTTCGCCCAGATGAGGCTGCCCAAGTACGCGCTGCCCAAGGTAGGTCGGCGCGCCCCTGCCTCCTTGTCGCCAGACCCGCCCGTCTCGCTGCCCTCCCGTCTCCACCCTCCTCTCTCGTTCTCCTTTCCCTCCTTTCTCTTTCGTTCTCTTTCTGTAACTTTTGATATTACAGCATTTAAATCAATAATGCCTTCAATTTTGATTTTCAATAGTAAAAAAAAAAAAAAATTGTTGAGCAGTGTGTACTGACTTTCTACCAGTACAGAAAAGAAACGTGCTAGATCATATGATAGATGTGACCCAGTTCCACCTCGGGATATTGATGACGAATTTTTCTTTTTCTTTTTCTTTTTCTTTTTTTTTTTTTTTTTTTTTTTTTTTTGGTGGAACCTGGGATTGAACTCAGGTCCATAAGCTTAACAGGGAAACTCTTATTCCACCGCGCCATCTCCCCGGCCCGGTGACGACTTGTTTATTGAGGGTGCTGCGCGCACGTGCCTCCAATCTCCACTGTCTTACCCGGTGAGACAGACTTAGAAAGGCTGTCATCTTCGGAGTTCTGCTCTACAGCCAGCTTTCTTACGTTCGCCTTTGAAAATGGGGCGGAAGATGCTGCGCCAGGGCGGATGCGCGCAATCCCGGGAGACACGGAGCCTGCGTTGGCGCGCAGCGCCACCTGGTGGAGGTCTGCTCGCAGGGCGCCGCCGGCCGAGCTCTTGCAGCCTGCTGGTGCGTTGTAACTTTCTTAGTAAATCGTGGGCTAATCTCAGAGCAAGAGAGGCGGATGGGAGCGATCTGCAAGAAGATCGTTCTGCAGGTTTTGTTGAAGCTACAGCTCAGCTTTAGAATGTTCAAGCTGCATAAAGAACACAGACTTTTGAATCTTTCTGCATTTCTCTTTTGTTTCTATCCTTGACTTGTGGGGCTGTTTTGGTCCAGCTCTCGCCCGCTGCCTGGAAAGTTACAGCGGCAGCGGCACGAGGCACAGCAGGCCACCTCGCCTGGGAGAGCCGCCGGCGAGGACTGCTGGGCTTCTGGGCGGCTTTCGTTCCCGCAGCCACCGCTCTGCCCCTTACCCTAGCAGCCAAAGGGGCCGCAGTAGCCCTTCGGAGGCAACAATGAGCAGTAAAGCGCGCTGTTAACTCCGATGAGCCATGTCTGTGTTAGCAGTAATTACTATTTTCAGCTTCTCAGAGATTAACGACTGTGGTAACTGCCCAGAACCATATGTCTGTGTGGGCATACACATTTAAATGTTTCTTACTCTTGAGTTGGCCTAGTTATTATTTTTTCTAAAAAAAAGATAGGAACATGCATCATATACTAAGTGAATTATGTCTTAGATGGGAACTGGATGAGGTCTGTATGTAAACAGAAAACAGAATAGTCTTTAAATTACCCTTGATAATCTCTTAGGAAAGTTCCTGAGGAAAATGGACAAATTGCCTCAGTAAATAAAGCAGAGTTCCTTCCTTCTCCAGACTACTAAAATAAATTGTGATTTTTTATTTTTGCAAAAAACTCAAGTAGTTAGCATGCAAGATTTGCAGTATTAAAAATAGGAATTATGCTTAACACAGTGAGATGCACTGATTCAGGATGCAGGTGGAATTGAGACTGAACTGGGAGACAGCAGTTGAGTCCTTCACTGAATGCTGTCCCTTAGGTCAGCATACACTTTGAGCAGCATAAATCTCACCCAAGATAAAATGCCATTTGCTGCAGAACTGAGGCTGGAACTCTACCTTTCTAATACCAAAGCTAGTGATTATAAACCTTTATGCCTTTGACAGTACAATCACTTCTCTTGTTAGAATGTATCACACCTTGCCCTCCACAAATTTGATATACTATCAGCAACGTTGAGTGGAAACACCCTTTTGACCTAACAAGTCCCTGAAACAGAAGGGTAAAATCAAAGAGGCTTTTATGAACCCCTGCTGAAGATTCTGGAGAGATCTGGCATCACTGATTCACAGCCGTCACACCGATCAGCGCCGACAGTCGCCCTAGTGGCATCCAGCTAGTGTCAAAGGGGAAGTTTTGCTTCAAGCTAATATCAGCATCTGTTCCCAGCCCTCTGCTCTTGCAGAGGGCTGTGGTCTGTGATCCTGCCTCATGGGAGCTCTGGAGGTGTCTCAGTTACTCTTCTCTCATTTGCTGGGACGAATACCCAACACCCAAAATAAAGGAAGGAAAGGTTTATTTAGCTCACAGTTACTGGAGGTTTGAGTCCACACTCAGCTGGATCCAAGGCAGAAAGGCACGTGGCAGGGCCAGCAGTTCATGGCGGCGGCAAAGAGCAGAAAGCAAAAGGGAGGAGTAGCAGCAAAAATGGCAACAGAGAGCAAGTCTGTCTCCCTTCAGTTACAGTCAAGCTATCCTCCCCAGGCTGGGTATAGCACTTATACCCATAATCCCAGCAGTACCCAGACCCATAATCCCAGCCTTGGATAATCCATAATCCCATTGGATCATGAGTAAATCTCAAACTCTAGAAGCCCCCACCCAATGACTACACGAGGCTTTGTGGGGGGCAACTAGACACAAACCATAACCAAAGGTAGAATGCGGTCATCAATTTAGCTTGTTCCCACAAAACAGGGGTGCATATAGCAAATGAATGGATTATTTGGTCCAGGTGGCTGTTTACAACGTAAAGCAATGAGCGGCTTCATTGCAATCATTTTACACCTTCAGAGAGAAGCCCCAGCTTTAGGGGAGGGATCTGCAACAGGAGGCTCCTATTTTATGCTCCTCTGTCAGGGACAGGAGGGCTGCCCCTGAGAAGGAACAAAGAAGCCTTCCTGCCAACCAGAAGAATCGAGACGATCCAGCATTTTCATGCTCATTCTTTTTAATCATCTGCTCCCATTGTGTCCAGTTCTTGAAAGATCAGAGTTCCCTGTGCTGTGCTTTATTTTTTTAATTAATATCATAATATTGAGGTCACTATGCAGAAGCACACAGTCATCTTGTGAACGAGATAGAGTGAAAGATCTCCTACGTAGGAGCTGGGTAATAACTAGGAGCTCACGGAGAGCCACTCCAGTGAGATAAATGAGGCAATCCATATGAAAGTGCTGTGCGCATTTTGGAGGCCACATAGTCTATAAAAGCAAGGAAATGTTATTATTAGAATGGATCCAGCTGCCTTCGTGGGGGAAGATCGATGCGTGCCAGGATGCAGGTAGTATGAAGGCCGTTTCATTGGTGACAGAGGACCCAGGTGTGGACCTGGGTCTGCCACTAGCTTGTGCTGCAACCCTTGAACAGCTCTTTTATCAATTCTCCTTTGCCTTGATTTCAGATAAAGAGCCTAAATGCAAAATGATGTTTTCTCCGATGTATTAGAATAAAATGCCCTTATTGATATCCCAGAAAATGTCCATCCTGTGATCAAAGACGTGTGACAACACGACCTCCCTTCTGTGTCCTTTGCTAAAGATGAACTCATCGGGATGCTGAAGAGTCCTGACTGGTGACTGCCCTATCAGCCAGAAAAGTCTCTGACTCAGCATTAATTAACACATTCCACCAGAGTCCTTGATCCCTATTGTTAGTCTATCAAAACCCAATACTGGCAGGCCTCACACAACAAACTGTTTAAGTGCTCCAACAAAAGAGCTAGAACACTGTGTCCTGGTGTAAAATTATGTAATTCAGTAAAAGAGAAAGATGATATTTTCATGAAAGTACGATAGGATTTAGGCAAGAAGGACAAAGAAAGGTGGCATTTTAAAGGCCAGACTTGTCCATTCAAATATTTAAGATCAATGTCACTTTAAAAAAAAAAAAAATCTCTTCAGTGTAATTAGATTATATAAAGAAAGAGAGAGAGGGGAAAAAACCATTTTAGCCTATTTTTCAGTGACCAATTCTCTAAAGTAATCTAGATCAAAACACTCGATGCATCTGGGCTTTCAGTCAAAAATCTACAAAACAAATGTCATGCATGGTGAGTTAGAACAGCTAGCATAATCCAGTGTAGGGCTGTTTACTCAGACACCTTCTGTGAGGACCTCAGAAGCTAGCAAATGCAGAAATTACTGCAGAGGGCACCGAGGTGGGAAGTGGCTATCTGCTCTTGCCAGCTTAATTTTGAAAGTTTAACTTGAACTGGGGGATCGAATAGCATTCCACGGAAGGAGGAAAATATGGGTCAAGATCTGTTTGGCAATTCAGGCTGTTTGCTTGTTACTGGGAATCAAACTCAAGACTTTGTGCTTGCCAGGCAGATCCTTGGGTGGCTTCGCTATCCCTGGCCCTTTTGGATAGCTAAATGCTGGAGTGGAGGGTTTTTGTCTCTGTGTACAGCAAATAGAGAGCCTTAGAAGGTTTGCCTATCAGTGGAGAAAGGACCGGCTCCGCAGACAATTTTCACAGCTAATTCCCTCCATTGGAAAAAGAAAACACAGGAAAGAGCCTCCTTTTGTTGAGTGTATTAGCGAGGATTCTAACGTTTACAACACAGGAAAGGCAAATCAACCTTGCTTAATCAATAATGGGATTAGAAAGGCTCTCTTCACTGCAAATTGCCAAGTGTGGAGCAAAGCTAAGGGCCAGATGCTGTGTTTAGCACTTAATAGATGGTTTCATCTCCACCAGTCTGAGAGGCGCGTGCTGTTCCACCTCATTTGCAGGAAGGAATTCTAGACACACAATTTGTTCACATTTCTAAATTAGAGTCAAGAACTGAACTCAGGTTAAAGATGAGACATTTTGATTCCAAGTTTGGGAGAATCCTCCAGTACTAGGATAGTTGCCAAGGAACAGTGTCAGATCTCCTGATACTCTGTCAAGGACAGAACAAGGGCCACTGGTGACAATTTGAGTGGCTGGTATGCTGCACAGAGAACAGGCATCTTTGTCTGTTTTCCCTGTGCAAGTCTTCCTGACCTTGTTTTCAGCTTTGCTTTGGTTTTGGGTTGTTGTTGTGGCAGTGTTGAGGAAAGGATGCAGCTTTGAGGAAAGGATGAAACAGGGCCAGGAGTAGGGGCAGAGGTCTCCCAGAGGGAGATGCAAGGTCAGGCTGTGTTGGCCTTGCCCTGCAGGGTCTGAATGGAGGACAGGTGTGGAATCCCCACCTGAGGAATGGCCATGTTTCCACACGGTTCCCTGCAGAACCACTCAGAGGAAAGGTTTTGGTTATCAGCTCAAATGCCAACCGCCATGAATTAGTGCAGCGGGCGGCTCTGATGAGAGGGTTCTCCTGAGACGCTTGCGACTGGGCATGTGAACTTCAGGGCTGGGCTTCTCAAACTTTCACGTGCAGATTGTTCCTCTAGGAAACTGATCCCTTAAATGAACTCTGAGGTTGTGGTGTCGGTTTGCCGGACCCCGTGCCTCTGGCTCATGGGTCACAATGACAGATGCAGTGTTGGTCCATTTCCTCTTTGTCACTGAAGAGCTTTCTCACATTTGTCCCATGCAAGGCTTCTGAGCATGTACCCATGTTGGAGCTTGGCAGCTCTATCAAGTGACTGGCTCTGTAAAACCATGTATAGGTAGGGAAATGCTCTTCCAATTATCTGCTGGGCAAATTGCATTATAACTGAGCATCAGCATCCCTGGATCCTATGTTCTCATGACCTTGCTGCCTAACCCTCTAAGTGACAGAGAAAATGTGCTATGAAAAGTTAATTAATTAGGGACCAGGGATATAGCTCAGCTGTGAAAGCACCTGCCTGGCAAGCGCAGCATCCTCAATTCAATCCCTGGTACCGAACAAACACAAAAAACATAATTAATTATCGTTTGTCGCATGTGCCAAAGGCAGCTCTCTGTCCTCCATCAAAGCACCTCACCCTACTCAAGCCATACTCTGTGGTCCACATATGAAAGTCTCCTCCCCCCTCCCTGCCTTGTCTTTCTGAAGGACATGCACGTCATCAGCACAGATGAGAACCAAGTGTTTGCTGCGGTCCAGGAGTGGAACCAGAACGACACCTACAACCTCTACATCTCGGACACCCGTGGGGTCTACTTCACCCTGGCCTTGGAGAATGTGCAGAGCAGCAGAGGCCCCGAGGGCAACGTCATGATCGACCTCTATGAGGTATGGCACCAGGCTTGTTTGGCCCTGACTCACGGCATCGCCTGGACTGGCCAGCTAGGGTCCAGTGCTTGATTGATCACGTAATACCAGATCTACCCATGGCCTCATTCCTCGTGGGAGGTGGAAGGAATTACAAAACATTTTTATGATTTGACTTACAGTGTGCAACGCTCTCCGGGATTTTTCTTTAACCAAGTCCAGGGATAGAAAGCCCCGAGAACTTGCAGCATGTCTGGGGATGAAGTTAAATAGAGTTTTTGCACATTAGTGATCTTCATGTGAGATTTTGAAGTCGCTTTGAGGGGCAGAGTGTTTGTTTATAAAAAGTGCTGGGGCAGCTCGCTCTCATGTCTGAAGAAGGAAGGAAGGAGAGAGGGTTGTCCTGCCTGCCACCAAAGCACTTCCCATGGCTGTGAAGCCCTTTCTGACCATCCTTGCTACTGACCTTCTTCTTCCCGGGACGTGGTGCAACATGCATCCAATATGTTCCTTTTCCCCTATTTGGAAGACTACAGGAACAAACAACAAAGGTAGAGCCTACCAGACTTCCCTAGGAGAACAACAGCTCTTTGTTTCCCAAAATAAGCAAAATTCAAAATGAAAGCATGAAGCTGGACGAGTCAGCCTTCATGGCAAATACCAAGGATTTAATTGCCTTGAAAGTGCAGATAGGTACAAAGAAAGTCACTATTTGAGGGTGGATTTTTACCATTTTTCTATCTTACCTTGTACTTAAAAGATTTATAATGGATAATAATGAGCCATTTACAAATACCTTCAGGACCTGCAAAGTGCAGTCATGTACTTGTATTCTATTTGAAAAAAATATATAAAGTAGATTGAGATACCTGTAGTCATAATGATGGTATACTTTGGTTGAGGATAAATTCAAGGAGTCAAATGGCTGTTTGTATAACAAGAAGCAATTGAGCTTTATTCAGTATGAAAGAAATCAATTTTCCTTATTAAATTTTCCTTATTAAATTCAAGCCAATCACTGTAATTCTTCAGTATTTTCAAATTTCTGTCTCTTTCACAAGTTTGTGGGAATGTTCTCCTAGTATGTAAACTTCTGCATATGTGTCCAGGCAAATTAACCAAATGCAGGGCATCCCAGAACCCAAGAGAGTTCTAATGAGTTTGGGACCAAATAGCATAGAGAATAGCTGGTGTATATATATATATTTAGAAACATACACTGAAGGCTTTTTTATACTTTCACAAGTTTTCTTTGCTTTCTCTCCTGCCCATGCTTCAGATAAATATAGCTTCATACATCTCAGCTTCAAACTGAGCATGTATTCTGGAAAAATATTTATATATTCTGATGATTTAGTTTTAAATTCACTTTGGATAAAGTTTAGAGTATAGATTTTTGGATTCAAGTTGCCTGTGATTTTATCATCTCTGTGCAATTTGTGTTTGTCTCACACACAATCTTTGCCCCATAAGCCACTGTCTCTTTAGTTAAAATATGAACTGGATATGGCTAAAAGTAGTACTGCGCAGGATTTCTCTGAAGATGAATTCAGTTAGTCCTCCCAAAGCACGCCGAGCAATGTCCAAAATGCAGCCGTGCTCAACCCATCATGGCAGGGCAGTGGTGGCCCACGCACCTTGACCCCCCACAGAGCACTCTGCTTTCGTATCCTTAAAACTCTACCCACAGTATAGAAGCTTTCAAGACAACTTTTTGCGTTCCTATTTCTTCAGCACTGCAATTAGCATGCCGCATGACATTCTGTAACAGCATCCTGTTGTCCTCTTATAACAAATATAATTTCCCACCTTGCTTTCCTCACTTGCAAATGCCCAAACATGCAGTGTGTTTCGCCAGAATGCTGCGACTGCTCTTGGCTTGGTCGAGCCTGGGCCGCAGAAGTCTTCTCCAGGTGTCCAGTTGCTGTGACTCCCACGCTTCTGCCCTGGATTAGTTGTCCCATCTGCTTTCTGGTCTGATTTGCAGGTTGCTTTTTTCCGTCTTCCTGGTTATCCTTTCCTTTCTTTCAATTCAACTCACAATAAGTCCTCCAGATGAATTGTGTTTTGTGCCAAAAGTGGAGACCATTTTAATTGGTCCCTTGCTGGTGGGAAAGGTGGCAGATCTGGGCAGGGATGACTGTGGTTTCTTGTTATTTACAGCTCTGTTCACCAGTGACTTTCTGAATCCAAATCCTGGTATCAGGGATGGAATGAAAAGAATCAGAGTGACCTCTGAATGCGGCAAGCTTTTCTTTGTTAACCACGCGTTTCTCCCTTGTGTCTTTCTGGCTGTGGCTCTGTGGTGAAACTGCTGGCTCCCGTTATCGTCACTGGGAGCAGCGGTGCAGCAGGTTACATAAAGGTGCTTTGCATCCTGGGGCCAGGAGAGAAGTGTCTGTGTTTTATTAGCCTGACAGTTCCCGGCTCCTTGAATTGAAATTGATGTGATCAGGATGGCAGCACCGTATCTGCTGATTACCTAGATGGGGAGAGTATTGGCAGAGGGAGCCCAGCACAAACGCTCCCTTAAATCTGATTGTTCTGGCTAGCAGGAAGCTGAAAGCCAGCCAGCGTGAATTTCCCAAGAGAATTACAATGAATGATGAGAATTTAGAGATAAATGAAAGTAAGAAAATCCATAAATGGATTAATAAGGAGTAGAGATGAGCAACCCATGAGGTGAGGTTGAGGGGACGGAAGGCAGGGAGCACATGCCTGCTTGCCCTCAAGGGTGACAGGAGAGGACGCAGCTTTCTGGCTGTATGCTGCTGCAGGACGGTCGCCCGCTCCTGCCACATGTGTGCTCAACTTGAGCTGTTATAGCAGAGGCAAACCACGCGGTATGTCAGAGAGGGCACCAACGACAGACGGAGTTGGTGGGCTTCTGTGGGAAACACTGACGGGAGCTCTGGCCTCATTGAAACCACTCGTTCTGTTTGCATTCACAGTGGAACCTGGCTGAGAATGCTTCCCTCTCTGCTGTGGGACTCCACGTGCACATGCAGAGGGTAGGAAAGTGTTTAGGACTACACGTGGGGGATAGAAAGCCGAGGTTTAGTGAATGGAAAATAGAAATTTTCTCTTAGTGAGAGAGAGAGTCACTGATTGAGCGTGTACCCTATTCAAGAGCGCCAGGAAATATGAGCCAGGAGAGCGAGCTCATATTTAGCAATGTTTCAACATTAGCAGTGTTTCATTGTTGTTGTTAATGGTGAGGGTGATGATGAACTTGAGTAGCTAATACTTTGTACAAAGCTCTGTCTAAAGAACCTTACAAACTGTCTCATTCAGTCTACACATTAACCTCAATATACGGGGGCTGCAATCACTTTTCTCCCAGTAAGTGAATGCAGTGTGGGAGAATACACCCACACATACAAGATTATAAAACTAGTAAGCAACAGAATTTGGATATCAAAGAGTATGCAAATACTCAACTACAAAGTATCAGGTTTACTTAGATTACAAGATTACTGCAAGATTACTCAGATTGCAATTGATTGTGAATGAAGAAGAATATGAAAATTAAAGGACACTAGAGGGCAGGATAAATACTGTTAGATTTTGCTTATTGGTAGAACAGAAGAGCAGCCCAGGAGAAAAGCAGGGGAAAGAGAGTGAGCAGTTGATTGCGCCAGACCTCTACCACTTCTGCACCAAGGCTCGTGTTTAGCTAAATCCTGGCAGTAATTGCACATGGCTCTCAATTTTGGTGTATTTTGTGTGTAAGAAAATACTGGTGGAGTCTGTATGTAGCACACTAAGTCAAATGTATCAACATTTTGTTGCTATCCAGTAACATAAGTGTTGAGTGGCATCGGGTCAGTTGAGTACTAGAAGACAGAGTACTTGGTGATGGTCAGCACAGAAGAGATGTGATGAGCATGTCTGTGACAACTGCTCCCAGCTTATCTGTGTGGTGTGGATGACGAAAAGGAGTCTGACAGCTTTGGACAATATCCTCCCTCCTTTGGGAGGGAAGATTAATTAATGATGATGAAGAGCACTTTGGCTTAATGGACAATGACAGGTCACCCCAGCTGAGTGGAATGGGCTGTGTTGGGAGTGCAGCCACCTGGCCGCTGCATTTGGGATGCACAGCGCTGAGCACATGTGACCACGAGTCACACTGGTGTGCCTCACGGGGGACACAGCCACGGAGCTGGGGTGCCCTGCTGCTCACGGAGTGGCTTGCACACTTCAGGCAGCCTCTTTTTAAAAAGAAAAAATTCAGCAGTCATGATGATGTACTTCTGAGCATGAAATTTTGCTCTTAAATGACAGAGCAAGAGGCAGAGAGGAAAAAAATGATCTCCAACCCAACATATGTTCATTACAGTATGTAGAATAGGTTGCTATCTCTGGATGAGAGGATTATTGATCAGTACAGCAGGAAGATAAAGAGTATTTTCACCTATTTTATCAAAATAGGTGAAAAGTTCCCCAGTTGCAGAAGCATCCCTGATCTCTCTGCTTCTCTATCCCCTCTGGCAGGAACATTATTTACAAGATAAAAATATTCTCTCCAAATCCCAAAGGAATCATGGTCTTGGAAAAATTCTCTTTCTTGCTATAATTGCTATTTTTCTTTTATTCTTTCAAAGCTTTTCACTGAGGATTTGTGACTTAAGACTGAGAAGAGGGATCAATCCTCTCTCAGTCAGCATCAGAGAAAAATATAAGCAAACACAAGGACTCCCGAATTAGGGTGCTCCCATGTGAGACACTGGAAAGACTGGAGCAGGCGAGAACTGTCAAAGAATCATGAGAAAAGGGGAGATGTCTGGGGTTCTGTTTTGAAATAACTTAAGAAACCCAAGTTCTCAGCACACAGAATACTGTAACTTGCCAAAAACATTTGTTGAATTGGGTTATATTAAGGTGTATGAGTCAGTGTTTACCAGAGAAACAGATATAATACAAGATACACAAATATGTAAGAATCTACAAGGTTGGCTTACAGTGGACACGTAGAGTCAGTGGCAGAGTGGATGGGGTCTGTCTGCACACTGCAGATCTGGAGGTTTCAATAGAAAGTCTGAGCTCACTGCAGCGTCCTGGAGGAGCTTCTACCAGGAACCCATCAGGCCTCTGATGAGGGCTGAAGAATCTATGCCCAAAGACTGAGGATCTGTACTGGAAGATGGAAGGCTCTGTGCCAGAAGATGAGGGATGCGCTAGAAGCCAGGGTGAGATGTCCAGGATGAAGGCAAAGAAAGGAGCCTCTGAGAAGGAGCAGATTCATCCTTCTTCATTCGCCTTTATGCCATCCAGGTGACAAGCCTCCATGGATGGGTCTTCCACACCTTGGGGTATGGAATTGCTGATCCATTTTAGTTGAGCTTATCTTACTCAAAATGACATAAGCAGTCAACCACCACAGAAGGGGGTGGGGATGAGAAACACACCCAAGGTCACACCACCACAATCCATGTACTTCACCTAGCACTCAGCTCCTGTTGCTGCTAACAGTATGCAATCAAATTATGGTCTGCTACTCCTCTGATAAAGTTATGGCTGTTACGATCCAATCACTCCCCTACCATCAGAAACCAAGCCTTCAACAAAAAGAGCCTTTTCAGGGACATATGATATCCACATCTTACCTTCATATGTAAAATCTAATCAACCTGATATTTTCCTACTTACGCTGCTGTATAACACAAAATGAGTATTTTTGAAACTGCTAATGTGGAATTCCTTCTATAAGAAGCAAATAAACAAAAGAAGTTCCCAAGTACGCTCACTAGTCACAAAATTCAGTAAGCATACATTTTAACAGGTCTTTCCCCCAAAAGTAGACAAATTCCAGCAGTAGAAATATATCTTTTTCACACATATATCTTCATGGGAAAGTCTGTGTCTTTACAGATCCACAGCTTCCACTGGGAACAGTATTTTCTCTATCCCTTACCAAGTGTCAACCCCACTCTCTTTACTAAATATGCATTTGGAGTAGAGACAGAGAGAGGTTATCTGGCAATTTATACCAATTTGCTCATCCTCAGTAGGACCCACACCATACATGCACACATGACCCACACCATACACAAACACATGTACACACGTATGCACACACAGACACTCATATATGCAAGCAAATATTCACACATGTACACCACACAGCTCCACATTGGAGACACTAATGCTGCTGTTTAAACATCTGAAGCCCTATAGTGAGAGCACATTTGCAAGACAGATGATGAGACTCTGAAAAAGCACAGAAGTCGCAGTGACAGATGTGGAGCAATGGATTTTTCCTGCTTAGGGTGGGTGGTCCCAACACCTAGGAGCAGGTAGCCACCTTTGCAAACCATGTCACAGGGATGAACCAGTACAAAGCCACCTCCAGTGGCTAAAGTCCCTTGGCTAAAAGAAGAATACAAGTAGCTCTATCCAGGTTGACCTCCCATTTCTCCATTCTCTCTACTTTGCCAAGATTTTATTCCTTAAGATAAACCTGGAAGCCAAGTTGGCAGAGATGTATCCCAAGGTGCAACTCTGCTCAGATGGCATTTGTTAATGCCAAGCAGTCAAGAGCCAATAAAGCTGCCACTTCTGCAAATCGAATGAACCAGCTCCTTAGTGTGTCTATTCCTGCTCTGGCATTTCTACCAAAAGAGGAAGGGCAGGAAGGCCAATTGACTAAGAAACTGCTGGGATGAGTAACATTTTTATTCCTTCTACATTCGCTGTTATTACCTTCTTGAGCACTGAATGGCTGAAACAGAGTCATTCCTCATTTCTCTGTATGATATGAATAGAAGCCTAGGATGGCTTTGTGAAATCCTGATTTATCAAATTGAATTTTTAAAGAAACGCCAGTTTGGTCCTATTTAAGTGTATACTAGCCCCATGAACATATGCAAAACTAATTTGAAGTTTCCTGTTGAGCAGCCCCTTTGGAGCTGGCATGGTGAATACTAAATATTATTAGTAATTAAGGCAGTATTACTAGGAGGTAGAGTCATCCTGGAACTTGTGCCTTCCACATTTGCTGAGGGTTGACCATGCACAAGAAATTGTACTGACTGCTGTTGATTGCCCAGAATGTGGTTTGTTTCACTAGGTACTTCAAAGTACTCCTCTCAGCGACTCATTTAAGGCATTTTTTTTGTTAATGAATTTATTGTTCCAAAAGAGTGCAAATTTGGCCCAAGTCTAAATTATCCCAGATGTCAAATCAGCAGGTACAAACTAATGAGGTCTGACTGTGTCAAAAGGAAAGGCAAAATGTGTCTTCTATTGATCAAAACCAGCCTCTCCATGTTGACAAATTCAGAGTGGTGTTAATGGAAAGCCTTTGAGAAGTCAAACAGATTTGAGAATGCAACCAAACTACCTGAGATCTTAAGAAACTGGTTTTATCTATACCCGAGGTTTCTCTTCCATGGAATTGGAATAAAAGTTGTTACACGAGTTTTGACACAAGTACAAGAAGATTTATTGTACACAGTGGAATGGATGCAGCATTGGATGTTACCACTTGGAAAATGATGGGTATTTTTTTATTTTTTACTCCTTCATTTAAAATTTTTCCCATTACCATGTGAAGGCCCTGCTAAGTCTAATGAAATATGCACTTGGTGCAGCCTGCCCCACTGGAAAAGAGACTCTACAGCGGGAGCCTCAATGGGCTCATCTGAGCTTGCCGGCTCATTTACGCGTGTCAGGTATGTTCCCAATAGCTACTTCAGCGAGCTGCTCATTTCTTCGTGCTCGGAATGTGGCCCGTGACCCCCGCTTCACCTGGCGATCCCGCCACTATGAGCGCTACGTCAGGGGGATGAGCGTGAGCGGCAGCGCGGCTCAGCGCGCTGCGGGCCTTTCCTCGCTGTCCTCCCGCTTCCCTGCCCTGTTAGGATTTCACACAGGGATGAAATATGCACTTGATGCAGCCTGCCCCACTGGAAAAGAGACTCTGCAGCGGGAGCCTCACGGCGCACGGTCCGCACAGCCTGCGGGCGGGGCCCTTCCCCAGCGTGGAGAGGAAGGAGTGGAGGCGGTCGCGTCTTCAGAGTAGAATCATTAGTAAGAGCCGCTCGTGTGAGCGCTGTGTTGTTATAAGAGCTGATGAGATGCTTTGTTTTTCATTTTAAGGAGAAAAACAATGATGCAGACTTTCAAAACAAGCGAGTGGCAAATTAGCAAAGGTTATTATACTGTGTATTGTTATCTTCAAAGTATTTGCTAAGATTACAAGATAGAGGCATTCAAAATTAATTAAAAATTAATCATTAAGTGTTCCTTTCAATGAACTAAAGGAATTAGTAGTACAATTATCTATCTATCTATCTATCTATCTATCTATCTATCTATCTTCAGAGGATTTATGACTTAGTAAAGGGATCATTTATAGAAATAAAAAGCAGCAGTAATCAGATCAAAATATTTACTGCAGAACTTCTTTCAGTTGCCCAAATGGCTCAATAATAGGTAGTCGATCACAGCATGAGTTCTGAAGCCTTAAAGTTCTGGAATCATTCTCAGGTCTGACACTCACTGTGTGTGTGTGTGTGTGTGTGTGTGTGTGTGTGTGTGTACACCAATGAGTGCTGAGAAAAGAACCGCCTGGAGAAACCCGAGATGTGCTCAGGTCTGAAGTAGAATGCTTAGTCTTGCCCACGAGGACAGGCACAACAAATATATGACGCCAAGTGTGCGAGTCTGGAATGCATTCAAAGTATGTTCTTTTTCTATGTAACTTGCAGATAACAGAACTGAGAATACCACTTTATCTCGGGCGCTGCAGGCTGCTGCCATCCTACGTTAGGTGTACTAATGAACTTCTACCAGACTTGTTGTGACCAAAACACAAGGGGCACAATTCCGAGGGTATCAGTGGGCAGGCTAGAGAGTCGTGTCTCACCGTAGCTCCCCACTTTGCTGTCACCCTGTTGATTCTCCCAAGACAAGTGCTCTTGGAAGAATTGGACAACCACTTTGTTAAAGTAAGTGCGAATACTCCTTCTCAAATTGATATACTTTTCAGCCATGTCAATTTTTCCCAGGTAGCAGGGATAAAGGGAATGTTCTTGGCAAACAAGAAGATTGACAACCAGGTGAAGACTTTCATCACGTACAACAAAGGCCGAGACTGGCGCCTGCTGCAGGCGCCGGACACGGATCTGAGGGGCGACCCTGTGCACTGCCTGCTGGTGAGTATTCATGTGGGGGCAGAGGACGCCATGGTGAGGGCTTCATAACAGGATGCAGTCCTCACGGCACTTCCGTTCAATCCGTGAGCAGGATGGGCAGGAAAGGCACAAAGGAAGGAGTGGAGTCCATGGGCTGCCTTTTGCAATGGTCAGCAAAATAAAAGCATGTAGTAAAGCCTGGAGTCACTTCCAGGTTCTGTACTTCCAGCCCTAACTGTTTTGCTTTGCTTTCCTCTGCTTTGCTCCACCCCGCCCTACCCCTTCTCTCTGTTTTGCTTTGCTTTGCTTTGCTGTTGGGGACCAAGTCCAGAGCTGCCTAAGGACACACCCTGCCACTGAGCTGCACCTCCAGGTCCTGGTGAGACTCTCCAGTTGTGGTGTGAGGTTGAACTTGCCATTTCCCACGGAAATCACCTATTACCGTCTAGTGATGAACACTTACACTACACACTGGTTGACCTGAACAGGACAGCATATCGGTGCAATTCCTGTGGTCATGTATTGTCACCATTGTGAGAGGATGTCACGACTCCAGAAGGATTAAGCATCACAGATTTAAATTTTTGTTTGCTTTCTTTATAATATACTCAACCGATTTGTCTTAATCTACAAAGCTAGGGCTGGCGAAAAAGATGGCTTGAGGGAAAACAGTGACCCGGAGCTTGTCTTTCTAAATAAGGTCTCCACAGAACGCAGTCCGCCTCTGTGTCCCTGCATCTTCATGGCCACTTTCCCTCTGTAATGGCAGAAACTAGGAGCAGTGGCGGAGTCTTGTAGGGTCAACTATGCATAAGCTGTTTATTTGGGAGCCCCTTAAAAATGTGCTGATCCCTACTTTGAAGTCTGGATTTCATTAAGCTGTGTTATGTTGGAAAATAAATGTGACCAAAATTAATTTGTTTATATAGTAAATAATATGATGGCATTGAAAAGAAGGATGAGAGACTACTCTTGCTTCCAGGGAACTGTGCACAACCCAGCACTTTGCATGAAGCTCACGTAAGAAGGGAAAGCCTGGGAGTCACTTGTCAGCCCTGTTGGTGACTGCTGATGGCTGCCCCACACTAGGCGCCCAACAGATGCTGAGCGAATGCGGGGCATGGGGGGCGCAAGTGCGAAGCAAAGTGCTGTTAGGCAAACGCTATGGCCTTCTGTGAGAGGGTTAAGTTGCATTTAAGTCAAGAAAAAGGAGACACCAGTATGTAACCATAGAGAGAAGTCCACTTAGTTTTAGTAAAATGTGCTTGATAAGTGTGTGCGAATCGACAGTCTGTCTGTCTGTCTGTCTGTCTGTCTGTCTGTCTGTCTGTCTGTCTGGTGACTCTTGGCTCTGATGTCATACCCACTCTGATTGCTGCTTTCCATCCCACAAACCGTGCATAGTCACCTGGCAAGTTGCTCTTGCAGGGCTAGAGGTGTGTCACTCCCTGCTACTGGAAAATAAGCCAGCAGCTACAGCTTGACCTTATTAGTTGCAGAGGACATCGCAGTTGTCACAGTGGATTAGGGAAACAAGTCTAAACTTCAGCCTCCCACTCCGCTTCCACCTCGTTACTGGCAACTCACAGGGAGCAAAGCAGCCCGTTACGGCGAGTGCACAGAGCCTAGGACAGAATAACTAAATGCAATAGCTGTTTATTGAATAGCCGTGGCTGGCATTTGGGAGGAACAGGACCACCTTTGAAGCAAAGCTATTCTGGGGGGAAGCACTGTGACATTTAGCCAGAGATGCATGTGAGGTGCCATTTCCCACCCAAGCCTTGCGCTTTGCGGGTGAATGCTTCAATGTGAGAGATCTGACCATGTCATCTCAACAGGCTCGCCTGGGCTCCTTGGCATTGCAAACGGACCCTTAGAAGAGACTTCAGAACGTGGTACTTAGCGAGGTCTTCCCTTTTCTACCCAGAACCTAAAGTCACAAGCCAGACTTCTGTGCCTCCCAAGTACAGAGGTAGCACCAGCTTTCTTGTCTGTCCTTCTCCATGGGGACAATGCTAGCACAGGCCGCAGTCCTGTGTTACGTGACCTACAGCCATAAGATCCATTATTCACCTCTTTCTGCCTCGCAACCTGTTTTCCAAACAGGAATCAATGTACCTCCTTTTTTATATTAATAAATCAACTTCAGTGAGCTAAAACGTCTGTACCTATGAGGCATCCACTTAAGGGTACAATCCGATGAGTGTTGACACATGTACATACACATGCAGCGAGGACCGCAATCGGAGTCAACTGTCCCCATCACGCTGAGGCATCCCTCGGGGGCCTTTGTGCTCCGAACTCACACACCTAACCCTAGAAAGCCTTCCTTAGTATATACTAAATTTTTGTCTTAGACTTTAGAAGTTGCATTAACTTGAACTTATTTGATGAACTAGATCATATCACACCTTTTATTTTGGTCTTGCTAATGATTGTCTTGTTCTGGATGAAAAGAAAATGATACTTTATTATGGCCTCCCTCTGCCCCACCTCAGGCCCCTTCCACCTGGTGTCCCTCCTCCTCCTTTCTTACACTTAAACCAGACTTCAGTGTGCTTCCTCACACTTAGGAGGCTGTGGAGCTCTTCCTTTGATCTCCATGAGCTGACAGTGTTTAGATAAGTCTTAGCCTGTTTGAATTACGTATTACTTCTTTTAATAATGCCCTTTTGCCAACCAATATTTTCCTTAGCATTCATCCTGATTGCTCAAACAGATTTCCTGAGCATTCAGTAGCTATATTTGTCCCAACCCCTTCTCCCCATGACCCGTCTTGCTAGCTGAAATCAGCCTGAGTATTCATGGATTCTCTTGTTCCTCCTTCCCCGTCCACTAGGAGTTCTACGTATAGAGAGACCACAGCTGTCTTGGTGACCACACCAAAGATGAGCTCTGAGAGCCACATCTGCCACATAGTCAGGCCTCAGCACTGTGTTTGGAGTTGGTGCTTGGTGCACACACATAATTCAAAGGCGTTCCTTGAGCTTATTTGGACTTCAATGAAAGCTTCCCTCTGACAACCACGCTGAAGCATTTGCCAGCATATCCACCTTCTGATGCTGGCTAGCTCAAGTTGCTCCAGCATTAGTAAAGTCAAGCAGCTCCATGAGGATGAAGGAGAGATGAATTAATGCGATAGAGATGAGTATGGAACCCGAGAGCCCTCACTCTCTCCTCCCTCCTTAATCCTAAAGTTTAAAACAATTTTTAATTCAAGCTTTTCAAAATAGTGATAGCTGTGACAAAGGAAATGGGAGAAGAAACTAAAACCATGTACAAAATCTGCCAAAGGCACTAAAAAGGAAAGAAAATCTTTGAGCTACAGGAAACCCAGACTGCAAAAAAAAAAAAAAAAAAGAAAAAAGAAACCCTTCCCTGGACTTGGGAGCTGGTGGCAGAGAGAAGATAAAAAGTGATTTTAGATTTGAGTACTTGGAAAGTGACAGTGTCACCGCAAGCTCAGGCTACTGATTAGAAAAGAGATTTTCCAGCAGGGCCATTACAGATGTGGAAGAAGTACGGAATTACAGCCCAAATGGAATGCTCCTGTAAAATGTATTCCATAGAAATAAGACATCCAGGGTAATTTAGGACTGCATTTCTGGGTCTTTCTGCATGCTTGCCCGCAGGGCCCAGCTGGGATTTCTTTCCTCTGAAGACTGCATTGTACAATTAGGTAGGGTATTACAGTTCATGGTCTCCCTACCCCCAATGCCTCCACATCAGGCTCGTGAGAGGAAAGGCGTGACGGAGTGGAGGCCACAACAAATCCTGGGGCCCCTGGGAAAGTCCCGCGTTTCATAGAGAGAGACCCAGACTTCTTTACAGATTGATTTGGCCTTCTTTTTTGTGGCAGCCAAGCAGGTAGCTGCCCCAGGAGACTCACGAGTGGCTTCCACTTCCTCTGCACTCCGTGCAATGAGGTCCTGTGCCAGACTGAAGTGGGGCCAAAGACTCCGCATCCTGCCGAGTAGTGTGGGGGCCTCGCTGCTCTCTGCCACTGAGTGCACTGAACACCTAGGGAATTCCTCGCTCCAATTCAGAGTCGGAAACTGCACAGAAGTATAGGCATTTGGGTCAAGGCAGATGCTGGCTGTGCTACTTAGGAGCTCACCTGCACCTTTGCTATGTATGAGACTTCTGATCGGTCCTTGCAGTTCAGCTTTTAAATTAATAGCCCTGGAGTAAAAGTACTATGAAGACAGCATCCAAAGGCTGTTGACACCTCGCTCAGAGAGAGAGAGAGAGAGAGAGAGAGAGAGAGAGAGAGAGAGAGAGAGAGAAAGCACTAGACCTCCCTGGTATGGAAGGGAAGCTGGGCATTTGTCTTTGCAGTTTTCAGAGTCATTAATCTCCTTCAGATTCTCAAATACTGTGCCTGATTCTGATAAGAATAAACACCAATGATCCAGTTGGTCCTGGAATGGACTAACTGATAATAGGCCATTGCCTGTGGCAATGTGTAAGTCTACCAAGGGCAGCTTCCAAATACAAATGCTGGGCTGGGGTTGTAGCTCAGTGGCACAAGAGACTGCCTGGAAACCACAAGGTCCTGAGTTCAATTCCCTATACTCAAAAACCCTTCATCCACTGTGGTTGGCAGCAGTCCCTGCTGGTTTCTGTGCATATCCTTCTATCTTATTAATGTGGAAATGAAAGTGCAAATAAGCACTGGCCTTGGAGCAGGCTCTGTCTTGACGCCATTGCCCTGGAGATAACTCTGGAGGTAGAGGGCAGCATCTTCAGAGCGAGGGGGGGGGGCGCTTTGCGCTTGTCTGCTAATCAGAGCATAGAAAGCAGGACAGTGAAGAAAGAATGAGGAAAGCGAGAGCCGCAAGGTGCCTGAGCTGCACAACGTGCTAAGCATCCTGCAGCTCCAATGTGTGCCCTGAACTCAGAGCAGCTTGGTGGTCACTATGCTGAGTCTGTTTGCTTTTGGCGATTTCGCTTTGACAGATACCTAAAGCCGACACAAAAATTTAATTAAGTCAAAGGGGAGGAGTCAGTGCACATTGTTTTTATTCCAACATTTGGGCAAACTTTGCAAATTTTTTGACAAAAATGAAAATAATAATAAAAGAAAGCCCCAGGCTATTTCCACGTACCAGCTGGGGGCAATCCTGCACTACAAATGTGAGAGTGGAAAAGAGTGCACCAAAGCGGCGGCTTCTACTGCTGCTGCCGCCGCCACGTGAGCTGGTGGCTTTTCCTCTCAATTAGTGTCTGTTGGCCTTCTAGAATCCATAGCAGCAGAGCAGCACTGAGCGCCCAGTAGAAAATGCCTCCCGTCCTGTGTGACAACAAGCTTCCCACACCCAAAGCATCTGCCTTCCTCAGCTGTCATCTGAGGTGCTCGGTCTTGCAGCTGTGGCGAGCATTGGCTGCAGAGGCCAGGCTCCCGTCCCTCATTCTAGGCAGGAATGCTCGGCCTTCCTAGGTGGGGAGGAAGGCCCTCCACTGACCCTCTCTGTCCAGGGATAAGCTGTACTTTTTGGAATATCGTGGAGATGGGCATGATAATCCTGAGACTGTAGCACTCCTAAGCAACTTGGAGGTGTCGTTGTGAGTAGGGTGGTGATGTCTTTCAGGCTCCTACACAAAGGCATGTCTTGCTATTGCAAGCGTTTATCGATCATCTTTCTTAGATCTTCTGCACGATGTCACAGACTATGCCAAGCTATACTCGATACGTTCTCTTCCTTTGTAGACTGGGTCCCTTAGGAAGGTAAAGGTGAACTGCATCACAAAAGACAGCACAGGATTATGCATAGCAAAATACATTGTGCGGAGTCAGAGACAGGAAAACCCTCACCAGCTGCAGTGGTCAGGAAAACTTGCAGGGAGGAACACTGTGACACTTGTCCTTTAACCTCACTTCCTTCTCTGGCTGCTGGGTGACAGTACCCCAGGGTCTCTGCAGCTCATGGGACCTGGGCTGCCTGTCCTCTAGGACAAAAGGAACCACTGTGGTGTCTCTTTGTAGAGGGCCTGTCACCTGTGTGCTTAAGAAACATCTTAGAGTAAAATGAATTTTCAATACTTTACATACAATTTTCACTCAAAACGAATACTTTATCCCTCCTTGAGCATTTTCATTTCCACGCCAGCAGTGAAGAAGAGACCGCTTGTGAGCTGCTGTTTTATTTTTGCCAGCGTTTTGGCTATTCTGATTCCTGAATCTCAGTTTTAGTTTGTCATTTACTGTATCCGATATAAATTTAATCACTGTATCTCTGTAGCTGGGTGTGTGCTGGCCGAGACTTACCGAGCAGAATAGAAGTAATAACAGGGCTACATTGGTAAATCCAGAAGCTCAAGTTGATAAGATTAGAAAGTAATCTTCCCAGGACATGGAAAGAGTTATGCATCCAAGCACAAGCCGGCATTTTGTGACAAGCCAGTACGAGGTCTATTTTAAAATAAATTCATGTAACGTATTTTATCTTTTTTTGAAAACTATTGGTATCTTAATCAGATAATTTGATTCAAGCTTTTCAGGCAAAGGTTAGAAAATTCCATCAAATTTCCATTAATTTTTTATTATTACTGCATTTTGTGCACATATATGACTTTGATATCAAATAAAACTGACTTTGATAGCGTCCTGGTAGAAGCACCACATCTGTATTTCGGAAGCATCAGACAGTTCCTCACCTCATGGCTTCCTCCACCCTTAGCCCAAATCTCAGGAGCTTGTGAGGAGACAGGCCGACACCTCCCGCTCAGTTCTCCTGCTGCAGTCTCGCGTCCCGGCTTCAGGTCTCCTTCCTCCTCTTGTCCTACCTGCCTGCATACTGCGCTACTCCACTCTTTGGCATCTTTTCCTTTGTTATCAACATGGCCCAGGTCAGGAATGTCCCTTCTCCTGTGCAGTGTCTCACCCGTGGTCCCCGCCAACGCACCTCTGCCTCCGGCACCCTTTTCTCCTGGGATCAGAGGTGGACCTCAGCTCTGTGCCTTCCACATCCTCCTAACATTTGCTCTGCCTTCCTCAGGGCTGTAAAACGATACTGTTTTTATGGTAATGGAAAAATTTAATGTCCTCTAAGTGCAAACGCTGTAAAGTCAGACTCATATTTTAGCATCTGTAGCTCTTCAAAGCTTCACTTCGTGTTTTGCAGATATCAAAATATTCATCAAATAAGCAAAGGGAATTAAGTCAGTAGATTAGACCTAAAATGAAGGTACTTCTGTCTATCCAACTTGGTAGCTTCTACACTTGGAAAAAGCTGGATGTTTGCCAGAGTAGAAATAGAGAGGACTCTGCAAAGAGGACTTGTGCAGGCAGCAGGTGGACAGAGGTGTCCCTCGGAAGAAGGACAGACGGGGCAGTGAACCGCCTGGGTAGGTGCTCCGACTCTGGGCTTCACGTGACTTTTGAAATAGGCTTTTCTGACTGTGACATCTCTTCCGCATAGCCGTACTGCTCACTGCACCTTCACCTCAAGGTCTCTGAGAATCCCTACACGTCGGGCATCATCGCCAGCCGAGACACGGCTCCGAGCATCATAGTGGCTTCGGGTAAGAAGCTTGGCTGCTCTGCTTGCTATTATAAATGGTGTCTATTTTAAGAAGCTAGATGGTGATGCTTAGAATTTGAGCAGTGAGCTAAACTATTTTAGAAGGGCATCTACACCGCTGAACCTGAAGCAGGTGTGCTGAAAAACTGTTGTGCAGGTAGAATGTTTGTCATTTAAATCTTTCTTGAGTAATGAATGCTGCTGGGTTTGTCCATTGTAAGCTTGTGCCAATTTTTTCCCCACTAATGGTAATATGCTTTTTCTAGGTAATATAGGCTCTGAATTGTCAGACAATGACATCAGCATGTTTGTCTCCTCAGATGCAGGCAATACTTGGAGGCAGGTAGGAAAACGCCCTGGGTTGTGCTGGTCAAGTTTCAGTGCCACAGAATTCGTCTAGTTTAGTTCAGTGTTACACATAAACGTTACAGCTATTAATCTGCTTACTTTTTTCATTTTTATGAATGTCTTAAATCTTTGAGTTTAGCATTTTCTTTTTTTGTCATTTAATAATGACATATTTTCCTGAGACCCTGTGTGCATGATCTTTTATAGATGATAGTAAAACAAAATAAATCTGATAGAATTTTCCCATAAAAGAAAGCCAGAGTCCCTCCAGGTTCACCAGATAGGAGCAGGGAACCTGAATGTAGACTGTGCCTAGTGCTGAGTTGCCTCCAAATATCCCTCTTGCTTTAAAAGCGGAACACAGAGAAATGCAGTGTCATAGAAAAGGCCATTACCCAGGTGGTATTCTGAGATGTTTAGATTTCATGTGAAAAAAAAAAAAAAAAAAAAAAAAAAAAAAAAAAAAAAAAACGAGAGTAATAGCCATCAAGATGCATGTTAGGTAGAGTAGAAATGGAATCACTTAAAAATAATGCCCTTAGCTTAAATGCTGGTTGCCTTTCTTCTGAATGAAAATTAGATACCCATGGTTTATAAAACAGGCATTTAATGAAGCTTAGCAATCATAACAAGACACGAGCTAATGCATGGCTGTTACACTTCAATAAATATGTTTTAATAACCCACTGACATTTAATTATCATGTAATAACTAACATCATAAATTGAAATACAATGCACAGGTAATCACACTTAGCAATGAAAGTACTCTGCTTTAAATTTGAGAGAGAAATAGCCACGTGAGGGTCCAGTTATCATGTCTTACCTTCAAATCCTTTGTAAAGCCTCAGTAGGATTCTTACATTTTAAGCCAAGCAAAGCAGGGTAGGAAGCTTCTTAAAATAGCGTAGTAATTGATCTTGTAAAGGAGGAAGATGCTGTTCTAAGGAGGTATCCTCTGGAGAACAGTCAGCATCTCCTTTTCTTGTACTGCCTCCCAAAGGGGAAAAATCCCTAGTTTGTAGTTTTGGGGTATATTGCTTCTATATGAAGTAAACAAAATAAAGATAATTTCGGTACTATAAATTCAGGCAAGGCTCTAGTGTCAGCCCAAGTGAGAAAACAACACACATCTTATCCAGAGACGAGTTGCACATTCCATCCAGAGTGTTTCCATTTGACTTCAGCTTGATTTCCCTGCCGTTCAAGAAAGACCTGAGGATCCATGTGCCCAAAATGATAATATCATGTTGAGCAGAATTACTAATGACACGTCTGCTAATTGAACAAGAATACATTTTTGAAAACTCTTGGAGACTTGAAATACTTTGGCCCGGTGCACTGGAATGCAGGGAGTCCCACCTCCAGTGATGACTACTGACATGTCATGAGAAAGTCACGTCTCTCTAAAGCTTAGTTTGCTCACCTGCTAAAGTGGAAATCTAGGACTAAAGTACAAAAGCTTCTTCCCATCTAGAGATGCATAATATATGATACCCAGACTTCTGACTTTACTGGAGTAGGAATCACTAGATATTACTATGAAAATAAAAATGATATAAATATGAATACATGTGATGCATTTTAAAGGTATTTGGTTCATACCTACAATTGTCCTACCTAACACGAATGGTACATGTAGCTCACACTGGGAAGCACTAGTGGATATCTGTGTTTCCTCGAAGTTCTAGGAAAATGGCCTTCTATTCTGGCAAGAATCTTTGTTCCCTGCACACCCGGATTCTTTCTGTGGTGCGTACTCTGTATGTTCACGTGTGTTGCTTTCCTTTGTCCAGATCTTTGAAGAAGAGCACAGCATTCTGTACCTTGACCAAGGCGGGGTCCTGGTTGCCATGAAGCACACAGCTCTCCCGATTCGGCATCTGTGGTGAGGGCCCCTGCTGCCAGGAGACTCCTCCTGCGGTTCCGCCCTGCGGAGGCAGTGTGGGGAGTCCAGTTCTCAGACTGTGTTTGCCGAAACCTGGCAAGCACTGCTGGGACATGATTGATACCTTATCCCTGGTGAAGTATGGTGGTCACCTGCAGATTCGTGAGAGGATGGGCAAAGATGAAAACAGGAAGGGAGGATTGCTGCCCTGAAGAGAGGATTTGCTTTGGTTTTCTAATGTGACCGTGTTCTCTCCACAGCCTTGTTCTGTCATGGGTAGAACACTGCTCACGACTAGCCATACTTTGTGAAAAACTTATCTACTGCTAGTCACCTGCCCCAGATAGAATCTCTGGAACCTTAGCGTCTGCAGTTGTACCCTTCTAGCACATCAATGTGCAGCTCCTCGCAGGAGCCCCGCTCCTGTCTCATTTCACTGGGTAGCTTCCATAACCTCCTTTCTTGCCGTGACATTCTCGGTTCTGCCTGTCTTCCACTGTTGGATACACGAGGCCTAACTTCTACAGGGTTTTCCAATGTGCTTCTTCATCTGGCTTTGAATGGTATCCTCTCCACATGTGAGTCGGGGGGAGGTCAAAGCCTGGTCCTCCTTCCATTTGTAATTATGTTGATAACAAAAGCAGAGTCTTAGCCTGGGGAAGGTATTCCCAGAGAAAGAACAGCAGAGAAGCTCAGCTGTGTCTATCTTCCTCTGCGCTGGCTGGTCTCAAAAAGTGAACCATAAACTGGGTATCTCCTAAACGTAAACGGAACTTTATTTCTCACCGTTCTGGAAGCAGGACCCCACGCTTAGGGCACTGGCACCCTCATGACCAGTGAGGACCCTGTGCTCTGACTGACACAGCTGCCTTCTTGGTTTTCCATGTGGAATGGACCTCATGGTTCTTTTAGGGCACTCTTGTACGGCACTCTTGCCATTCCTGGTAGCTCCACTCTGATGATTGGACTCTCAGCAAATGAGTTTTCATGCTTTTTTTTTTTTTTTTTTTTTTTTTTTAAGAACTAGGGATTGAACTCTGGCCCTTGCGTTTGCCAGGGAAGTGCTTATTCTACTGAGCCATCTCCCCGGCCCAAGTTTGTGCCTAATGCTCTTTTTTTTTCTTTTTTCTTTTTTTTTTTTGTCTGAAAACTATACTTTTTGCAGAACCAGGGATTGAACTCAGGCCCTTGTGCTTGCCAGGCAAGCCCTTATTCTACTGAGCCATCTCCCCGGCCGCAAATGAGTTTTAGAGAGAACATACACATTTACAAATCTACTCTTTCTCACAAGGACTCATCCTTCTGTTCTTAGCCATTCTGCTCATATGCAGTCAGATTCATTATAGTTCAGGGAAGCCAGCTGTTATTTATACTAATGTGAAAAGGAAACACTGAGAGACATCACACAGAGATAGGCTCGTTTTCTGCTACTCTGAAAGCCCATCCATTTCTGAGATCGTAGTAACGGCTTGACGGAAGATGGCAGCGAGGATTCGGAGGGGGCCACATGGACGCCCATGAACTGATAAAATACTCAAGTTAAAAAATTCTCCCGAGGGACTTATCAGTGTTTGCTCTACAGGCAGCTCTTCTGCTACTGGTGGCCCAACATATTTGTGTTCTGATAGCGTGGCCAACTCTAGGCCGACATTATGATATAATTAAGAAGTTATCCATACAAAATCTCACTTGAGGGGCCGGGGAGATGGCTCAGTGGAATAAGCACTTCCCTGGCAAGCGCAAGACCCTGAGTTCAATCCCCGGTTCCGGAAAAAAAAAAATTAAAATCTCACTTGGAAAATGCCTGGAGTCCTTTTTTTTCAATGTATGGGGTTTTGACCACACTAAGCCACCTGACCAATTCGATTGATTGATTGATTGATTGATTGATTCATTCATTCATTCATTCATAGACAAGATCATTTTAAGTGGCTGAATTGCGCCTAGGCTGGATTCCAGCTTGCAACAAAGGGCGCTGGGAGTCACTGCTAATTTTATTGCCCTTTGGTGGTTTGCACGTTTTTGTTAGCAAAGGCTCGTAAAGCTTCCTTGTAAGATCCACTAACCATTTTGTTTTATCTTTAGGCTGAGTTTTGATGAAGGAAGGTCGTGGAGCAAATACAGTTTCACTTCTACTCCTCTTTTCGTGGACGGGGTCCTGGGTGAGCCCGGAGAAGAGACTCTCATCATGACGTAAGTGGAAAATCACAATGTGTCCCGGCTTTCACACAAACACCCAGAAAGAAGTTTTAGAGCCAGCCTATCTGATTTGTTGCTGCTAGGTTTGAAGTTGTTTGCAAAGTCAGTCCCTCCTACCTGGCAAGACACCAGCAAAGAGGGAAGAAACCTCTTTGAGACTAAGCTTGTGAGAGGAGATAGCAGAAAGGCGGAGCTCTTTTTTTCTCTACTGAGCAACTCTAGAGAAATTAGAAGAAACTGTTTCAGTAAAACTTATGGTTATATGTTCAAAATTTTAATAAGCTAGCTGCCTGGGACAAGAATGTTAGGTATAGAAGAGTGAATTCTCTTTCACTGAGAACTCAGCATTTGAGTAAAACCCCACAAAGGATTTCATTTTTTTCTGGCTCTTGACCTAACTCAATTGTGAGGAATGTTATAAAAATTGTGAGAAGTGTCTGTTCTTGTGAAATTGCATTTTCCACTCATTCTTGGAAAATGAGTGATGATAATTAATTCTTAGAAGATCTGATTAATGCTTCAGCTGCCTATGGTTTCCAAAGCATATCCTTTGAGTTTGAGGTATGATACTGTAGTATTTTTTTTTCCTAGAAAATTAGCCATGAGTAAACAAATCGAAAGGTGGCAGAGTACTGGATAAAATCACCAATGAAAAGTACAAAACTGAAGTGAATAATTGGCACATTTTCAAACTCTTTTCTCCACTTTTCTCATCTAGATGATAGCAATCAACAAGGAGAAAATATTTCCTTTGTCTAAGACCTATGCCTTTGCAGTGTGTCTCATGGTTTACCTTCGCTCAGCCTCTGTATTTGTAAAGTCCAGACAATGATGCTGGTCTAAGTCCTTGTGTGGGCTTTCCTGCTCTGTTGGCTGATTGAGAGATGAAAATCAAGACCAAATGCTTGATTTTGACTGAAAGGCATAAATGTGCGATGTGTGGGCAGGTAGAATGGCAAGCTTCTGTCCCTTACCCTGAAGGCATGCAGGAAGGCAAAATGCCATGGAAACTGTGGGACACAGTTACTTCAGCAAAAGAAGTCAGTAACATAATCTTGACCCAGCTAGGGTGCAGAATCTGTGATTGTGTTCTCATTTTTTTTTTCAAACACTGTTTTAGTACAAATAGATATATGCAGAGTCTTGACCCAAATTCAGGTTGTGAGCACCTTGATTCTGGGTGTCCATGTTGATGAGACAGCCCAAACCTCAGTTTATTCATCTGTAAGGCAGAGCTGGTGGTAGAAGCCTCCTCCTCAGTGTGTTCTGATGTTTGGAAGATACAGTCCGTGTGGTGCGTTACATTATGCTCCTCATAAGCACTCAGCAGATGCAAGTGGTAGTTGCCACTGCTGCTTTTCTCCTTATTATTCTTGCTTTTATCATGGTGTACCCTGTAGAGTGTTCGGACATTTCAGCCACCGGTCTGAATGGCAGCTGGTCAAAGTGGACTACAAGTCCATTTTCGACAGACGGTGTGCGGAAGAGGACTACGTACCCTGGCACTTGTACAACCAGGTAGGGCGAAGACAGCTGATGCCGAGCCCGGGAGGGGGGCAGCAAAGGAAACCTTCTCTGTAAGGGTTAGAAACTGGGGTCATGCAGGACAGAGGTGTCCATTTTGTTCGTTCCTGTGTGGGTGGTGTTAGTCCATGGTGGTGGGCAGCGCCAACATTTCCATTAGACTTCTGCTTTGTGGTACAAGGTCAATACGGCATAAACTTCAGATACTTTGGCTTAGACTTACAATGCAACACAAAATACTAACCTGGCACTGAGAGCCAAACCTAATTGATTGGTTTGTGTTAAGTGACTGCACGGTAGGTGAGGCTAGGAACAAAAGCTTCAGTTTCACCTAGTGATGCAAACAGAGGTGAAAAAAAAACCAGTATTGCTGATGGAGGGTGCCAGAGAAACCCTCCCTCTGCATTGCCTTGGTTCTTTCAGGATGTATGGTGCTTCCTGCCTCCTCTGCAGCACTCACGGTACAAGAATGCAGAATCATTATCAGGGAATGCTCCTGAGGGCCTCTCAGGTATTTAGCTCATATCAAACTGCAGAAAGCGTCTCTTTTCTGGTCACCCATGGCAGAAGTCACGCTTCAGGCCTCCCCAAGCACAGAAGTTCCCACTGCAAAGCCATCACACAGTCAGGCAGTGAAACATCACCTACCCAAATACACGCTCAGCTACTTAAACAAGGATCTTTAATGCAATCATGTAAAATGAGTTTCCCAGAGAAAAGACAGCGCATAGTGCATTACACAAAATTTTATGGTGGGCTTTCAGGAACACCGAAGGAGCCGCGTGTTTGATGGCAGCTGCTGCAGTAGTTAGCAAGTCCTGCTCTCTATTCCAAGGCTCCGCAATAAAACTACCACTTATTTACATCGCTGTTCTTTCCCCTTTGGGAGGATGCAGAAGCATTGTGATACCCAAGGCTTTATTTATTTCAAGGAAAAACACTGAATTTAGTGCTCTTGCCTGTCTGGTAGATGAATGCACGTAAAAGTGGTGCTGTAAAGTTGTGTGGGCAGAGGCCCAATAAATCAGGATGAAATGGGGCTTTATATTCCTTACAGTACACTTTCTTCATATGCTCATAAATGACCAAGCAAATCAATCTTTTGTTATAGAAGAATTTAACTTAATTGCTATAAGTTTTCCTGCCATACACTTGCTTTAGGTCTGTCTCACCTGTCTGTGTGGCTTTCACATCCCTGAGTTCTTGCTTCCCCAAATGGAAGTTTACTGAATTCATCGGGAGGTTAGGAGGCTGCTAGGCAAATCCCCAGAGCTCCTTGGCATTGCCTTTATGGTTCCATTCTATAATAAACACAGAAGAAAGCTGTTAGGATGAAGTGAGCTACCAGAGTCCACAGGACAGTGGAGAGCATGAATAGACTCCTCAACTGTCCTGATTGTGGCAAGGAGGTTCCAAGCTGGAATCCCAAGTGCACACTACTGTGTCCTTGCAGGGGGAGGCATGCATCATGGGAGCCAAAAGGAAGTACAAGAAGCGAAAATCAGAGCGGAAGTGCATGCAGGGGAAATACGCAGGCGCCATGGAGTCCGAACCCTGCATCTGCACAGAGGCGGATTTTGACTGGTGAGCTTGCACAGTTACCCACAGAGATGCTTTTGTGTCCAACCCCGGAGCTCCCTGAGGAGAGCGTAGATTCAGGCAGCAGTGCTGTGTACTGTATGGGGCGAAGAGGACATCTCAAGTCCATATCGGATTACCTTGTGGTTTACTCTCTGTATGCACCTATATGAGGCACCACTAGGAATTCCTTTGAAGAAATAAAGACAGAACCTGGGTGCATCCGGCCTGCTTCAAACAGGGTGTTGACTTTTCAGGACTCAGACAAACTTGCCATCTACAGAAAACCTTTCTAGAATCTGAAGTCCTTGAAGATAACAGTGGCCTGAAAAGGCAGCAGAGTTTCTGGCCCTGAAGGTTTTCAGGCAGTAGTCGGCTGAATGCAGCTGGTGAGAGGATAGGGGACATTTATGCACCCAGCGGTAGGACAGACTGGGGGAGGGGACATCATGTTCTCTGACCAATGGACCTAGGGAAGGGAAATTAGTGTAAAACTAAAGAAGCACTGAGACATCAGGAGGCTTAGGCCAAACTCCAAGTCCAACACAGAGCTCTTCTGAACACTTGCGAGGCCAGAATCTATGGTGTGGAGAGGATGCCCTAGCATTATCTGTGGTCAGCGCGTGTGTTCCAGGGAGGCTGACCAGTTCTTGGTGATGAATTATAATCCCTCCCTTAATTATTTCCATCGTATTTTCTGTTACTTTGTCTTTTTATGTATTCAGTCTTTAGCTTAGAGAAAACAATAAATAAACATGTATGCAAACTGAAAGCAATCGAAACTTTACTTGTAGGAAGCTGGCCATCCCTAATGATTTATTATTTCTGGCTGTGTAGCCCTCACCGCTCACATATCTGATCTTTGGAATATCAGTGTTTGAGGCTGTGTGTGCGTGCACATTTCATGTTGGAGAGAAAGCCTTTCTTAAGATGCATCAGTGGTTCCTGGAGACGTTCTCCGCATCAATAGCACTGGCGTCACGGGCAACACAGGAAGCCAGCAGTCAGACCTGTAACCCACAGGGCTTCCTCCTCGTGGGGGGGCTGAGCCCTGCTGAGTCCATTCGGTATCTGCCTGCAGTTGCCCAGAAGGCCACAGAGCCTTGGGAGGTCTTCAGGGGCCTCTGCAGTCCTGGCGTCTGTTTCAGTCACTGCACCATTACTCGATTACAATGACAAAAAGATTTGATCTCTGTCCTATCCTTCAAACTGACACTGAAATCCATTCATGAGAATAACCCCCAGGAGGGTTTCCGTTGCTCATCACACCGCTCTCTCTGACTGCTTCCCATCCTTCACTTTACTGGGGGATCTGCGAAGGAACGTGGTGGCTTACACTTACGCTTTAGCTTTGGGCTTAGGAAACAGCTGTTCTTCTGCTGAGAGCAAATTCATCCTCTGGTGGAAACCAGAGGAAAAATGTGAGGTGAGATTTGCTTCCTTGGTGAGCTTTCTTACAGGGTCCCCAGTCGGTCCGACGTGGTGGTTGCTCTGTGTTGCCTTTTCAATCTTAAGCTAGTCCAGAGTCAAAGGAACAGAAACAGAGGAAAGCAAGTGCGCTTCTGCCTCTGCACCCTCCAGCCTTGCATCTGCGTCTAATCCTAGACACCCTTTCTTACCCTAGAGATCACGTGTCCACCCGCTGCACCATGTTCTGGGCAGTAGGAATGACTGACATGCGAGGCCACTGTCAGGCTCCCGGATCAAATGGCATCTTTGCCGCTGTGTGATTTCTCATGTCTTTGCTGAATTCCTCCCAGTAGTTGGAGTTCTGATGATCTGCCTGACTGCAGAACCAGGACACGTGTTGCCACTGAACGTCCCTGTGTATCCTGCTTCTCTGGACAGCCCTGGGTGGCCTTGCCTGGCATTCTCCAGCATGTGTGAAATAATTCCCTGAAGGGTGTCCCCCAGACAGTGACATGTCTTTCTGCTCATACCACCAAAGCCATTTGGAATGTGCAGAATTCTCTGAGTTTCAGTTACCTGGTGGCATTTCCAAGCCGTGCCTGCTTCTCTCCTGACCTCTGCACCAACCTCGTATCTCCATCGCAGATCGGCCAGTTCATGCTGCTGCCTACCTGTGGTTGCCTTGACTCGCTTGTGTGTGTGGAGGTGCAGTTTGTTGTCCTCCTCTGTGTGTCCCGGTTCATCCCAGAAGCCAAGAATCTCAGGCCACTCGGCAGCCCTGGAGGCATAAATGGGAGGGGGTGAGAGAGGAGTCAAGACTCTTTCCAAAGCAGAAAGGATTAGAAGCGCTTAGGCCCACATGGAAGCCTGAACTGCCTAGGAAAACAATGTCTTCATTAGGGAATGCTCACAACATTCCTGAAGGACATTTCCCTCTTAGCTGTGACTTTGAAGCAGATGGCGAATGCACAGAGGGACCTGGCTCTGCTCTATGGGTAGATCCAGATGTCTTGGAAGAGCACCCGAAAGACATCATTAGTGATGAGGACTGTCCCACACGAGGTGTGTTAAGCTGTGCTGTGAAGTGTTCCCAAGGTTGAGCTTCCACCACTGGCTGTTTTCCAATTGCAGTCAATGTTGTACATCTTTCTCATGGAAATATAATCTCTTCACAGATTAAAGGGGCTTTAAGGGCCTTCTTCTGTAGGGTACTTTCAGGGATAGCTGGTGGGCTGTGAGTAAAGCTCCCTTCTTGAAGTTACTGATTCCAGAAGTGAACTTGGCTGATTAGAGTAGAAGCTGCCTGGCCTGACACCAATTGTGCTGTGTAACCTTGCCGCCTGCTGTCTTGGCTCTTTCTTTCTCCCACAGTGACTATGGCTATGAGCGGCACAGCAATGGCCAGTGCCTGCCTGCATTTTGGTTCAACCCTTCCTCTCTGTCAAAGGACTGCAGTGTGGGACAGAGCTACCTCAACAGCACGGGGTGAGTGCCCGGGGCTGGGAGTGGGACAGGCCGACCCTTGCTGCGGCTGCACATGTGGTGTACCAAGACAGTTACTTCTGGTTGAGTCTAGCACAGTGCTCATGGGATTGTTCCTCCAAATAATGGGGAACAATTTTACATTAACAGTGCAGGTTGATGTCAAGAGTAGGCTGCAGTTGCAAATAAAGCAATGAGCATGGATCTTTGGAGGAAGGTGAGTGTGAGGAAGACAGTAGACGGATTCTTGCCTTCATGGGATTCTTTTTCCCAGAGATACAGAATAAATAAGAAGCAAATCTTTGGGGGAAGAGATTGGTTGTGAGGCATTGGCCCATTGACTGCAGACAGGCAGATGCCAAGACCTGCTACGTCAGCATGCAAGACCACGGTGTGGTTCCCCACCAACCCTGAGACCCGGAAACAGAGTCCAAGACACAGTTGCAGGCCAGGAAGCTTCAGACCCTAAGCTGATGTTTCAGAGGAGAATAAAGGCAGGGAGGAAGCCAAAGTCCTCACCTGAATGCTGTCAGCTGTAAGGAGCTCAAAGGACTGTCAAAGTGTCAGACTTCTTGTTCCATTCAGACTTTCAAATGATTGGATGAGGCCCAGCCACATTTGGGAAGAAATTAACTTTTCTATTAATGTAGATGTTAGTGTTATCTAAAACCACCCCCCAGAGGCACCCAGATAATGTTAAATCACTGGTCTGGGCATCCTATGGATCCCAAGTTGACACATAACACTGACCATTAGAAGTGATGGTGAGGGGGCCGGGCAGATGGCTCAGTAGAATAAGCACTGCTTGAGTTCAATCCCCGGTTCCATTAAAAAAAAAAAAAAAAGTGATGGTGAGGAGTTGTAGTTGTGTGTTTAGTCATGATAAGGAACTTTGCTTAGGCCAAAATAGGAGAGGAAACTTATTTTTTCAATGTGCACAATACATGAGGTGTATTTTTTAAAAGATCTAGGTATTTATGGATTGTGGAGGAGGGTTAATGGGTGCATGAGAGGCCATCATTCTGTTTTCTCTCATTTCTTCATATTTGAAAATTCTGCTATTAAAAAGTTAAAGAAAGGAACAGAAGGAAGAGAGGAAAGTGGGGAAGGAAAAAGAAGAAAAGAAAAGGAAAGAGGGAAGAAAGGGAAGGATGGAGAGAGGGATGAGAGGATGGGAAGATGAGATGATAGGGAACTGGGGCAGAGAGATAGAAGAAAGGTGACCAGTTCTGCTTGCCAGAGCTTGTTGTTCCCATGCCAGCCGTCAGCCAGAGAATCCTCTGGACATAGTAAAAGGCCCGTCATGTCCTGCTCTTCTGGAAATGTTAAAGTGCTTGAATTTGAAAAAACAATTGCAGAATAATATATACTGTTCTTTCCAATGTGGTCAAAGACCTAGCTAGACATAGGCTTCTGCCATTCCATCCCCTGATGTAAAGCATTCCTAAGCCTTTGAAAGAGAGAAGAGTCCCTGTTTTATTTGAACAATATGAGACATGAGGAAAATGCAAGTAATGGGCTTGTAGTGGTGGGTCCTCAGCGTCTCCTAATGCAGGAGGAAAGACGAATAGAGGGCTTAACACAACACCTGAAGATCACAGGGAAAGATCGCCAAAGAGAAGTTTAATTATACACATGTGTGCAAAAGAATGTTTGTACACTTCAAAGGGCACTGGAAAATCCTAATTCAAGAATTGGTTCCATCCTGCGCCAACTTGCTCAGTCTAGGATACTACAGTGTTCCCCCTTTGGTACTGATGAGAAGAAGATGAAATATAGAAGGGTCAAAACCATTGAAGAGGTTTCCCAAATCACAGGAATATGGCAGAATGATCCTGTACTTTTCAGGTTAAATATAAATCCTCATTAATTGAAGGTGAGAAATGAGATAGTTAAATTCGGTTTTTTTGTTTTTTTTTTTTTTCTATTTAGGGGAATACTATCACCTATGTTCTACAAAATTGCAATTTCAATTGAAATGTCATTTGGTGATAATGGTCCAGGTGTAGAAATGTTCATCGATGCAGTTTTTACAGGCAGCTGTCACAGAGTCATCACCGAGACGCCTCCTGCAGCCTGGTCTCCACTCTCCTGGGGTGTTCAGGTCCATAGTATGACAGGACATGGTAGCACCTGACACTGAAGGAATTTGTGTAGGTTACTGTAGACTGGGTTCATTCATTCTGTTCAAATGTTTTGCACAAAATCATCAGTGACAGTATGCAGGTTTACGCAGAAAGAGCCCGCAATAACTACCAGCCATCAGCAGGCGTGGAGGGTGGCCTGCCCACCTGAGGAAGACATTCTCAGGTGAAGCAGCAAACTCCCAAGCGGCATCTCACAGATGAGAGTCGAGGGAAGGAGACAGTGGTGACCTCACCCATCACTCTGTGCCTAAGTACTTTCCTGTCACGGTAGGAGCAGGAAGCCTTTCACTGTGACAAAAGCCTGAATTATGTTACATTGCCACATGCAGTGTCTGTAGCCAGCTCAAGAGCTGGCGAGGGGTAAAGTAGAGAAGATGCGGAAAAGAGCTGCCTGCCTTTCCTCCCATCAGTCCATCTCCAGAACGCGTGGCCCGCGGTGTCCACTGCTAGGTGTTAATTTAGTGATTTTCCATAAACATTGGCTTGTCAATGTATAGTCACTACAGTGTTGCCATTACAGATGTAGAGCTTGTCACTTAAACATTTAGTCGGGCAAGGAAAAACAAAACTAACGCGTAGATTGGTTTCATATGTTTAAAAAAAAATTAGATTGTCAGCCAATCTTGAACCCTTTCCTATGCGGCTACGATGTGTTTGTCAGGCAGATTTTGAACCACCGCCTTTCTTTGCACTTGAGGGAAAATAACTCTGTCAGGAAACATAATAGATAGAAAATTAATTTGGGAGGTTGTTTTGGTGACTGATTTTCTGCAGATATATTATTCTTCATTTGCCTTCTTGGTTAAAAACTATGGATTCAAGGTCATCAGCATGCACAGCGCTTCTGCCCATCTCTTGGCAGTCCTTCCGGTGGGGTGTGATAGGATTATGTGACCAGCCCTTTTCACAGGTATTTGGGCAATTTTTGTTTTCTCTGCTAGAAACAAGACTGCAGTAAACTTTTTGTGCAGTCTCCCTTGCTTAAGAAAACCGTGATAATTAAAATCTCTTGTGGCAGCTGGAGGTGTTTCTTTGCTGATAAAGTGAATCACACTCAGCCGCTGATAATTTCTTAGCTCTGAGCAGCGGGCATGGGCAGTACTTGCCACAGGGCTGAAACACTAGCTTTCTGTCCAAAGGCTCCTGAGTCACCCATGTTAGATTTATTTGAATTAATTGTCATCCTCTTTAAAATACAGATGTCTACAGACTCCTCAAGGAAAAGCTGCAGGCAGGGGCAGGCAGGTGCGTTCCGAGCTGTAAGTTCAGCGTGTCTCAGGCACACGGAGCTGAGCAGCTCTGCTGGAGGAGCCGCGCTGCTAGTTTTCTCAAGGATAAGTCCTGTGGCCCGCGCCTCGAAGCCTGCCCAGCTCAGGAGCCCCCGTGCTCCTCACGCCTCCACAGGGCCAGCTCAGCTCTTCCAGGCTGGAGCCCGCGTTAGTTTCAGGGCCAGGGACGAGCAAAGGGTGCCTTTTGGCCTGCCTAACCCAATCCTCAGCTGCCTTCACCTCAGCCTTTTGTTTCCATGACACCCAGGCGGGCCTGTAGTCCCAGCGTGGAAAGAGCTGGTCTGCCCAGACCTTCTCTGGCCAGGTAACGCCAGCAGCAACATCTCAGCTCGCTGTCTGAGCTGTGCTGGATGGAAGCGAGCCGACAAATTGGCCGGCTGGTCTGCCTTTCTCTCTCTCTCTCTCTCTCTCTCTCTCTCTCTCTCTCTCTCTCTCTCTCCCCCCCTTTGCTTTCTTTCAGAACGGTTCTTGTGTCACTCACAATGGTCACTCTGGCACACAGCTCGGGGCCCCATGTTTATAGCTGTGCCCCCACGTTCACATGATAGCAGAAGTCCAGCCTGGCTATTTTAATGTCCCAGAGAAATGTTATTCAGAGGAGATGCCTACATTTTTATTAGCCTCACTCATTGTTATTATTTTTTCCTGTGGCCAGCTTAGCCCACTCTGGGGGCGGGGCTGGCACGCCATGTGGTGCTGGGGATTGAACTGAGCTCCCTGCATGCTTGCCTAAGCTTGCCTACGCAGGCGCTTTAGACTGCTGAGCTGTCTTGCTGGCCCTACTAGCCTCACTGTTTGCATGGTATTTTCTTTCAATTCCCAGAAACCAGGACAAATAGGCACAGAGCACCCACTGCATGGCCTCAGTCATGCACTTTGCGGCGGGGGCAGCAGGTTATCTGATGTCCTCACCTGGAGCAGACTCGGGCGGAGCCTGCTGTGCTGCGCCTTTCCGCTCCTGCCTCGTCTCCCTCCCATTCACCCTCCTGCCAGTCACTTCACACCTGCTGTGCTTTCTGCCTGTTGGAAGTAGAAAGTGAAATGTGAGAGGATCTTTGGCAAAAAGGTTATTTCAAGATTAAACAAATATGCCTTTCTGACATGACTTCTGCCATTTATTGCCATCTTTAGCAGGTGAGTTTGTTTTACTCCCAGTGTGTTCCCTATAATATTTTGCTTTTTGCCTTCATGGTAAGATCAAATGTGATGCTAAGAAGCCCACAGCAGGCTTCCTGACAAAATATGCTCCCCTCCGGAGTTTGCATCTAACCAGATGGTAGCAGAATAGAGGATGGAAACCTATTTTGTTGTGATTCTGTAATTCAGATAAATGTATGATACTTATTAGTGGCTGAAATGCTGCTATCTGGATATAGTGAATGTAAGCTTCTGTTTTCTTGTCTGTAAAACAGAAACAATGACCTCTGGGAGCCCCTAAAGTCACACGATTAGGTGACAGGACCACTTTTGACACAAACGTGTATCTTTCCATTGCTGTCACTTAGATGCAAGAACTGCTCTACTGGAGTGGTTATTACTGGACAAGTTCCTTTTGTCCAAATAAGAC